AGAGAGAGAGAGAGAGAGAGAGAGAAGCCCAAGCAGGCCTTGTGCAGTCAGTGCAGAACCCAACATGGAACTCAATCTGACAACCGTGAGATCATGACCTGAGCGGAAATTAAGAGTCAGACACTTAAATGATTAAGCCACCTGAGTGCCCTTCTAAGAACCTTATTAAAAACAATTTCCTTTCCTTTAGGGTAAGCCTACAGAGGCCTCCATAGAAGCAAGAGTGCAAGAATATGGAGAATTAGATGCTAAAGATTACATTCCAGGAGCAGAAGTTCTAGAAGTTGAAAAAGAAGAGAATGCTGAAAATGATGAAGGTTCATTTTCATTTTACCATTTTCCAGGATAAAATCACTCCTGTACTTTATTGACCTTGAAATCTTTATGTTGATTGAACACTCATTCAGCAGATATTTATTGAGCAAGGACTGTGTGCTAAGCACTGTTACAAGCATTGGGGATCAAAGGGCATCCATCGTTCCTACACTTAGGAAACTTACATTGTAGTGTAGATGTCTGTTCATATCCTCCAGGGAAGCTGCTCCTTATCAAGATCATACAGGGCACTTGGGAACGATAATGGCTTTCGGGTTTTTGCCTAGAAAAAAATAATGAAGGTTAGTCATAAACAGTCCTCCAAGACTCCTTGGTGAAGGAGAACACTTGGTGAACTTTTTGAAGAATACTTAATTTCCAGAGTTAGTGTTTATTACCTTGGTTGCTAGAGTCCTATCTTCTTCCTGTTAGTTCATTTGTTATATTAACTTTTTAAAGCGTTACTTGTGAGCTAGCCACTGTCAATATGAAGAAGAATGATATGGTCCCTGCTCTTGAAGGCTTTTCATAAATAGCTCTGCATGAGCAAAGCCCTGAAGTATTTAGGAAACTATTATTAATGTAGGATACAGGGTGGGATATAGCAAGATACCAGACTAGACATAGAATTGGGGTCTTATCGGGTGTGGTTGTATATATGCTATACCAAAGAGCTGAGACACTCTAATGGGGAACAACTGAAAAATTGCAAGTGTCTGTGATTTTGAAAGCTTACTGTGACTCCATTAAGAACTAATATCTCTTCACTGAGGTATCTACCAGGTTCCTTCACATCCAGAATCTATGACTTCAGTTGTCTGAATGATTGTTGCTCACTAGTTTCTAAAAACATGTATAAATATGCTTAGATGAGTTGTCAGATACTTGCTGTGTGGCCAAGATAAATGTACAGGTGCAATTTTGATGGACATGGTTTGGTGGAAAGATCATGGACTCTACAGTTAGACATGATTTTCATTTCATCGTAGACTGCATTTTCTAGCAGTGTGGCTCAGGGCAGGTAACTTGTATGGTCTGTTCCTCTTCTGTTGAGTTGTGAGAGGTAAATGATTATAAGATTTTAGCTCATGGTAGATCATGGTCAATGTTTATTATGCATTCCATAAAGTAATTAAATTGATGTGGCTTATTTAACAATAAATATTGCTTGATTCTTGGTCAATAGAGCTCCACTGACTTTGATTACCTTATTTTTGCTTGATTTATTTCAACTCCCCCTGAGTACTAACAGTGTGCTGCTTCTCACACAGATGGGTGGGAGACCACCAGTCTCAGTGAGGAGGCAGATGCCGATGGTGAGTGGGTTGATGTGCACCACTCTTCTGATGAAGAACAGCAAGAAATCGTAAGTCCTAAAATTACCTTGTGCAAGTACGTCACTTGGATGTTTATTAACACCTAATTCATGGTGGGCCTTGTTGGGGTTCTAGGCTCTCGCTTGAGCTAGTAGCTCTTTAAACCTTTGTTGTGTGTTTTCAAGTCCAAGAAGCTCAACAGCATGCCCATGGACGAGCGGAGAGCCAAAGCTGCGGCCGTTAGCACTAGCCGAGTTTTAACTCAGGAAGACTTCCAGAAAATCCGCATGGCCCAAATGAGGAAAGAACTTGACGCTGCACCAGGGAAGGCCCAAAAGAGGAAACACATTGAAATAGATAGTGATGAGGAGCCCAGGTAAAACGACACATACACCAAGTCTTCTTCAGTCAGCTCATGTGACGATGAAAGGGTTACGGAAAGGAGTTCCACCCTTGTTTCATACTGTATTTGTTCTTCACCTCAGGGGTGAGTTACTTTCTCTTCGGGACATTGAACGCCTTCATAAAAAACCAAAGTCTGACAAGGAGACAAGACTAGCAACGGCAATGGTAAGTGAGGCATACATATCATTCCCTTCAAACAAAAAGCAAATAAGCTGAAAATAAAGTGAATAGCCACAGAACGGCAGTATTTTATTTTGATGTTTTAAATAAAGGTATAATTAACGTAGAGTAAAATGCACAGATATTTGGTGTTCTGTTAGATGAGTTTTAACAACTAGATAACCATTCAGCCACCATCAAAAACAAGATGTAGAACACAGGCAATAGTACGTGTTCTGGTATCTGGGAGGCATCCAAGCTATTAGGAAAGCAGGGGAATGTTTAATAGTCACTAATGAAAAGCCTCCGGCAAGTGCTGTGGCTATGATTGCACATTTCCAACATTTCCTACTGCCTACTATTTCCGCTTTCTTTTCTATACATTTGTTTTAGGCACCATCCCATACTGGTTCCACGTCACCCTGTGCATTCATCCCATTTGTACTGAAACCTGATTAGATAAGTTTAAAAATCCATGTTCTTTCTTCCCCACCTTTTCGTATTCTATCGCTCCTTCCTGAAATGCTCTACCCTTCCCCTCCTTTCTCCCACCATGAATGCCTTGATCCTATAATAAACAGTTTACCCGTCTCCCTTTCTAGGAAGCTTCTCTGACCTGACCAGCTGAATTATGACCTTTTCTTCTACTGAGCTTCCCTTGCCCCATTACAATATATAATGATCATTTCTCCCCTGGACTGAGTCACTGGAGAGCAAGGACTGAGTTACATCAATCTTTTTTGTCCTTGGCACCCAGGAGAGTGCCTGGCACGGAGGAGACACATATGTGGATTAGATAACTCTTGAAGTGTTTTTTTGTGTATGCTAATAGGCTGGGAAGACAGACCGAAAAGAATTTGTGAGGAAGAAAACCAAAATGAACCCATTTTCTAGTTCCACAAATAAAGAGAAGAAAAAACAGAAGAACTTCATGATGATGCGGTATAGCCATAATGTCCGGTCAAAGAACAAGCGTTCCTTCCGAGAAAAGCAGGTGAGTTCAACTTGAAGCTTGATTGGTTAGAATACTGTTGTCATTTTAACACTTCTTTACTCAAAACAGAGCTGTGCCTTTTAGGACCTTGTGTTAGGATTAATGGGGAGCATTATTAGGGAACATGGAGAGGTGACAAGTGGTCAGGGCATGTAAATCCTACACCTGACTTGGCTGAGATTCAGCTGTGTGACCAAAGGAGAGTCTATTTTCCTCCTCTATAACTGCAGGAGTGGAAGCTAGATGGCCCGTAAGATCATCCCTATGCTAAAATTCTTGACATTGCATCTGTGAAACATAATATCAAGATCCTTCCTAATGTGCCCTTTTGCAAAACTTTTATGTTTACAGGTTTTGGGGATTTCATTTTATCCATTTGTGGTCTTTTATATGTAGTCCTGTGTGACTCAGTTGCCTTGCTTATTTTATTTGCTATAATAAAACAAATTCATGTTTTCGTCTCTTTCTCTACGGAGGGTGTACCAGAGTATATTTTAAATATATTCTGAAGGATCACCAGGAAATCAAGTTAGGATGAAACAAGTGTTCCTAAGTTGCTAGCCAAAGATGAGTGTGCCGGACAGACATGTTAATGGCCAGCTTTCCAGGGCAGTGTTTCATTTGTGCAGCCACCCAGGCAGTAGTAACTGAATTAAGGTGCCATTTAAAATCTACCTATCTGCTTATTTAATCTTTCTAGTTCTAAACTATGTCCAACAACATCATGTAAATAACAAAGTGCCAGCATTTTGAATAGAGGTTGTTGAAATCAAGGTGAAAAGAAAGGTGCAGTTTCAGATTATAAATACCTGAATTTTGCCAATTCAATTTAAATTCATGGTTGAACCGGGGCGCCTGGGTGGCTCAGTCGGTTAAGTGTCCGACTTCGGCTCAGGTCATGATCTCACGGTCCGTGAGTTCGAGCCCCGCGTTGGGCTCTGTGCTGACCGCTCAGAGCCTGGAGCCTGTTTCAGATTCTGTGTCTCCCTCTCTCTCTGATCCTCCCCTGTTCATGCTCTGTCTCTCTCTGTCTCAAAAATAAATAAACGTTAAAAAAAAATTTTTTTTAAATAAATAAATAAATAAATAAATACATTCATGGTTGAATTGATTCAGTCCATTAGCTTATCCTTCAGCAGACCTTTGTAAGATTTGAGGGTGGAGGAAATAGAATCACTGAGTTGCACCATGGTTTGTTCCTTCTTTCATTATGCAGTGTTTGTGACCTTGCTACATTTTGTGACAGTGTTCCCCTGCTTCTTACTTCCTCTGTTGTTTTACTGAGCCTTTTTTGGCATGATTTGGAAGCCTTGATTTGGAAGCCTCGTTTTGTTCCTTGCCAGCACCTCTTGAGTCATGAAGCTCCTCTCTCAAAGACTAAAGAATTTTTTATTTAAGAGTTCATTGGACATATGCACTTGTTGGTTCAAGAATGTTTTTTCCTTGTTCTCCCGTTTTCTTGCCATTTGGAACCAAAAATTAATCTGAATTTCTGTTTATGTGTCCTTGCTCTATATTTTCTTCAAGGTATCTCTGTTACAAAACTTAACTCTAGGTTCCTAATTTTCTTATTCTCTCCTTCACTCTAGACCAGCACTGCCCAATAGAAATTCAATACAGACCACATGTATAATTTTAAAATAAAAAAGTAAAAAGAAAAAGGTGAAATTAATTTTCGTAATAGATCTTATTTAACCTAATATATCTGAAATAGTATCATTTCAGTATGTAATCAATATGAAAATTATGAGTGAGATACTATACCTTCTTGTTTTTGAACTAATTGATGTCCAGTGTGTGTTTTACACTTGTGGCACATCTCAGTTTGGACTGGCTATTTTTCAAATGTCCAAAAGCCACATGCAGTTAGGGGTTACTGTATTGGGCAGTGCAACTTTAGAGCATCCCCAAAACTGACCTGTGACCCTAAAATAGAAAAGCTCAGTTCAGTTTACCTTTTGTGTGTGTTTTTTTTCTACTCACACAGAACACTTCTAACATTTATGGTCACCAAATATGTGGTGATTTTTTTCCCCCACACAAGCAGTTCTCTGCAGTACTGGCTAGTGTCCTACAATTTAACTCAATTCTGGCATTGTTTTCCTAGAAATAGTGTCAGATCCCACAGGTTAAGGGCTCAGCCCCATGAGACTATACTTGCCACCTCCCCAAGTGTTCCTCCCCCACCTCGTGCATGCATACATACATACATGCACACACTTCAGAAACCAGTCTCAAGCCCAGTGTTTCTGACGAGTCACCTCCTCCTTGGTTTGATTAATTTGCTACAGCTGCTTTCAGGACTCAGGAAAACCATTACTGAAGTTTACCAGTTTATTAAAGTATATGATAAAGGATACAGATGAATAGCCAGATGAAGAGATACATAGGGCAGGGTCTGGGAGGGCCCCAAATGCAGAAGTTTCTGTCCCTGTGGAGTTGGGGTACATCTCCCTCCTGGTGTGAATGTGTTCGCCAGCCTGGAAGCTGTCAGAACCTCACACTACAGGGTTTTTTTTTTTAGACTTCACCACATAGGTATGATCGATTATTCATTCTGTACCTAGCCTCTTTCTCTTCTCTGGAGAAGTTTGTATGTTGGGGGGCAGGGATTGCTGAAAATGCCAAGGTATTTTTTTTTTTAATGTTTATTTATTTTTGAAAGAAGACAGAGCATTAGTGGGAAAGGGGCAGAGAGACAGGGAGACACAGAATCCAAGCAGGCTCCAGGCTCTGAGCTGTCAGCACAGAGCCTGATGCGGGACCCAAACTCACGAAACTACAAGACCATGACCCAGGCTGCAGTTGGCTGCTTACCTGACTGAGCCACCCAGGAGCCCTGAAAATTCCAAGTTTCTAATCATGGCTTGGTCTTTCTTGGACCAGCCCCCATCCAGGAGTCCACCTAGTTGCCTCATTAGAACAAAAGATGCTCTTAGGGCTCTTATCACTTAGGAATTTACAGGGGTTTGGGGAGCTGTGTGTCAGGGAGAGGGTCAAAAACAAATATTAAAACGAGATGCTCTTATCACTTAGGAAATTACCAAAGTTTGAGGAGCTCTATGCCAGGAACCAGGGGCAGAGACCAATATGTATATTCTATTGTCTTACACACCCAAGCTTCCTCTGGGAACGGAGCATCACATTTCATACCCATTCTGTCCCTTGGTGACATTTTATTCTAAATAAAAGGGTCTTACATGGCTTGAAAGTGTACATGAGGTCTTCCTGTAAATTTTTAGAATATTCTCATAGAATATGTAAAAAAGAGGTGAGACTAGAAAAGGCAGGTGAAGCACATGGCAGAGAAAGAGGGGAGGATGGATCTTCCAGTGAAGCCTTAGGAAAGGTAAAGGAAGAGGAGGGAGAATATACTTTTCAAATGATGGCATTTGAAGGGAGAAGGAAACTGAGATACGTGTGAGAATAGCGAGTAGCCTGTGCTTTATTACAAAGTTTAATGAGCAGAATTAAGTCCGTGTAACCTTGGGTTACAACAACATCATTAACTAATGTACAGTTCTTACTGGAGAGCTTTCCATTTTTTAACTCTGTTAGTCAGTGTGCAACAATATGAGCAGGTACTGTGATCTTATATTTTATATTTTACAGATGAGACTGTAAGACAGATGAATCTGAGAAATACCTCCTCAGCCATGAAAGTTAGGCTAAAATGAGCTTGCTAATTTTTCTACCTTCAGTATCTATCCTCGATCTCTTCTATCTACAAAGACATTCCAAGACCCAGATATAAATAAAGGCAAGGAGTCAATACCTTAAAATCATAAAATCCAAAAAGCTTGAACATTTAAGACGTAGAGTAACTTCCACGCCCCAAACATGCTTTAACAAAGCAAACAAACAAAAACACATACCTTGTTGAAATTCAAAAGACATCTTAAAAATTTCTAGGAACCAAAGAATAGTGCTTGAGAGTTCGTGAAATAGTATCTGTCACACACCCAAGACACACACACACTTAATCATCTCAGGAGGATTTGTTGACCGGAGTCCATTGTTGTACGTCTCCATATAATCAAATTAGTATAATGGGGTACCCAAGAGTTCCCATGTTTAGATATTTTTTCTTATGTTCCAGCTGGCACTACGAGATGCACTTTTGAAAAAGAGAAAAAGAATGAAGTAACCTCCAAGCAAGTTTTCCATTCCAAGAAAAATGCTACATTTGTATCGTTATTTTGAAGATTAATCAAGAATGATTGTTTACATTAAAAAGTCCCAAAGTACTGTATTGTGAAAAACACAGTAAACTTGGTAGCAACTTGGCATTATTGTTTTGGAGATAGGGAATGATGGGAATGTTTGAAATGTAAACAGTAGTGGTGGTGTTGTAAACTCATTTCCATTTGGCATTCATGCAAAAAAAAAATGTTTTGTGCCTACTAATTGTCATTGTAGATGTAAAAATGAATGAGCCATAACCCCTCACAGAAGGCATTCACAGCCTATTTGGGACATAGGAGGGGGCCGATGTGTGTTGTATGTGTATTTATAGCACAGTGTAAATAGTTCTCTAGTAGAGATAGGTCCCTGCTTCTCTGGGGTCATAGAGGACTCTGCAGGGCATGGGAGTTACATTTTCTCTTAAAACAGGACAATGTTACAAGAGTAAGAGATTCTTACTTGTATATAGGCTTACCTGCTGAAAACAGGTCCTTGCTGTACAGATTTTATGTAGACAATTTAGCTCTTTTAGTCCATCCAAAAAACTGTATTTTTTTGAATGCCAGGTATAGGCTTTTTGGTTAAGACCTCGCTTTTTAAATTGCCTTAAGTCTAAATAGTAATCTTGGAGTGTTTTTTTAGTTTGTCATTTGAGCCGCCACAGAGGAAAAAGAAATCGGATTGGTTTCTTCAGCCTGCCATCATGCTGTAATATTTTCAGCCTACTGGGCTTTGTCTCAACAAAAGTTCCTAATGTCAGATAGGTTCCGTTGTGTGTGTTGAGTGCTGTGTTGGTCTCCCTTCCCTGGGCATGTTTGAGTAGATTTCAGGGGACACAGAGCCCTGGTCAGTCTCTCTCTGCAAGTTGTTGCATTTGGAAATAGTTTGGTGCCTTTGCCTCAGATTTCTTAGATAGGAAGATGTGGTAGATGAGAAAATTGTTCCATGTTACTTTAGAATAAAAGACAATTTTCTGCCCACCCAGAATTAGAAAGTAGCTTCTAAAACCACTTCTCTTGTTCACTTTCCGAGTTCACTTTTGGTTTCTTGGAAGAGATTCCCTGACCTTCCCCAAAGATGCCCCAGATAACTGGAGATAGTTGTGAAAATCTTGAAGTTTAATGATCAAATTGTACTGGCCTGGTGAGAGGGGCTCTCGGAGTCAACTTTGGCAGCTTCAGTGTTTGACAGGAAGTGTCCAGTCAAATTTGAATATATCAGACCTGAAACTGCTCTCTCTCTCACTTTCTTTTTCTCTTTCTTTTTCTTTCTCTTTTTTTCTAACTCTTCTTCCTTCCTTCTTTCCTTCCTTCCTTCCTTCCTTCCTTCCTTCCTTCCTTCCTTCCTTCCTTCCTTCCTTCCTTCTTTTTCTTTGAACTTTAGAACTGGGTGTCTTCTCATGTGTCTAGTTCCAGAGAGAGGTAAATAAAATTCAAAATGTCTGGGTCACCTGGGTGGCTTAGTCGGTTAAGTGTCTGACTCTAGATGTCAGCTCAGGTCGTGGCCTCAGTGGTTTGTGAGTTTGAGCCCCTCCCAGGCTCTGCGCTGTCAGCAGAGATTCTCTCTTTCTCTCTGTCTCTCTCAAATAAATAAACTTAAAAAAAAATTCAAACTGTCATAGCAGTCAGGGTTCACAGCTTTGCTGCATGACTTGTGATTGTGCCTGGAAGTTTCATCCTTCTGGATTTTCCTACCCAACGTAGAGGCCGGGAGGCCAAAACATCCATTCTGTGCTCTGACTTCTTATCTATTGTGTCTTCACCCTGCTCTTAACTGAGGTTTATATGCAAGACACAAAAATACCTGGTTTAAAAAGGTGCAAGTCTTGGGGCGCCTGGGTGGCTCAGTCGGTTAAGCGTCCAACTTCGGCTCAGGTCATGATCTCATGGTTTGTGGGTTTGAGCCCCGTGTTGGGCTCTGTGCTGACAGCTCAGAGCCTGGAGCCTGCTTCGGATTCTGTGTCTCCCTCACTCTGCCCCTCCCCCGCTGATGCTCTGTGTCTCTCAAAAATAAATAAACATTAAAAAAAAAAGGTGAAAGTCTTATTTCTCTAATCCCAAAGTATCTTAATTCTATCTGATTCCTTTTATTTTATAATGAGAATATTTTCTGTGAACCTGAAGATCAGATTCTTACAAGGTTCGATGCTGTCCATGAAGGCAGAGTGACCTTCCAGAGTCATTTTGACCTTGAAGAGGTCATCAGAGTCTGAGCCTCAACTTTTCAATGTCAGTTTTTTGTCAGTACTAAGAATGGATCCATTTCGGGGATGAACTCCCATTTCCAAGCTCATACTATATATATAAAGTGATGTATAAATCTAGAATACTGATGTATTTTGCATGTGATCTCAGCAAGTTCCACGAAAGGCAGAATCTGTTCTCTGCCATATCCCAGTGCTGGTTCAGTGCACAGTATGTTAGGTGCTCAAGCAAATATTTGAATACGTGATTTATTCCCTGTCAATTTTCTCTAAGTATAATACCACCCACCTCATTGTTTTGACAATTTTGAGAATGTTACAAGCACTTAGCATATTTGCCACAAAATAAGCATTCGGTAAATTTCTCATCAAAGATAGATATTAAGTTTTTATTTTTATTTTTGGCTTAATCTTGAAACAACAATTACAGTTGCTATAAATATTTATTTTACCATTCATCCATTTTGGGGAGAGTTTGTTTGAAATATAAAAAATGTAAAATGCATGAGGTATGGGTGGCAAACACAACGTTTGTGCCATATAGAAACCTTTGATCCGATTAAGGAAATAGGCTTACAAAATGACTATCTAATGCAAGCTGCTTATGGAACTATCAAAAAAGGCACAGCATAGGGCTTGAGGGCATCCTAAAAAGGGGGAAGTTCAGGTGGCAGGAGGGTGAAAGGCTATTTACTAACAAACTGATGCTTATGATGAACACAGGAAAGCAGTAGGAAATAAATTACTGAATCATAAAGGAAAAGTTACAGTTTAAAAGGTGGTATAGGGGTGCCTGGGCTCAGTTGGTTAAGCGTCCGACTTCGGCTCAGGTCATGATCTTGTGATTCGTGGGTTTGAGCCCCGTGTCAGGCTCTGTGCTGACAGCTCAGAGCCTGGAGCTTGCTTTGAATTCTGTGTCTCCTTCTCTCTCTGCCCCTCCCCCACTTGCACTCTGTATCTCTCTCTCTCTCAAAAATAAAGATTAAAAAAAAGTGGTATATAATTTCTTGAAGGTTATAGTTAACATAAACTTTGTCTTCATTACCTCATTTTCTAATTCTTTGAGAATTTATAATCTACTTAAATTGTCACATGGTGACTCAGAATTAATCAGAATGTTTAATTAGAATATTCTGTTCTTCAAACTATTTTAGCTAAGCATATTTAAACTGTGTTGCCAAGGATAATAAAGTTCTACCAAGTGAATTCTTTCATTGTATAAAAATAAAAACAAAAATAATTCTTTTTTTTTTTTTTTAGAATGTATTTTATGAGATTTTTTTTAAAGATCTTGAAAATGAATAGAAAAGTAAGGCACTGACATGGAGCCTTTTCTCTTTTATAAGGAAATAAAGTTTTCTCTCCTAGTACAGTCTTTGGTCAGTACTTATTTAAAAATGTAGATGGGGTGCCTGGGGGGATCAGTCAATTGAGTGTCAGACTTCAGCTCAGGTCATTATCTCACCATTCATGAGTTCAAGCCCCACATCAGTCTCTCTGTTGTCAGCACAGAGCCTGCTTTGGATCCTCTGTCTCCTCTCTCTCTGCCCCTCTCCTGCTTGTGCTCTGTCTCTCTCGAAAGAAATAAAGTTTAAAAATAAAAAATGTAGATAAGAACAGGGCACATCTAATTCTGTACTATTTAAATACCAAACATTTGTATAAGGCACTACTTATATGGTAATCTTACCCTGCAAATTTGGCTTTCATTGTTTTGTTATCCCATCTCAGTGTGGAAATGGTTAAACTGATTTATCCACATGATGAAATATTTTGAAGCTATAAAAATGTTTATAATAGGAAATGCTTATTATAAATGCAAAGAACAAAATACAAAAGTATTTATAGCATAATCAAACTACACATGTAAGAAAATTAATAATAAAAGCCCAAGAGGAAATACTCTTGTTTGTAAAACGGTATTGTTTTAATTTAGATTTCAGTGATTACCAGACAGGTTGAGATTGCTTCATGTAGATTTTTGCTATTTGGCTCTTTCTTTTTATAGCGCTTTGGTTATTATTATTATTATTATTAATGTTTATTTGTTTTTGAGGGAGAGAGAGAGAGCAAGCAGGGGAGGAGCAGAGAGAGGGAGACACAGAATCCGAAGCAGGCTCCAGGCTCCAGGCTCCGAGCTGTCAGCATAGAGCCCTACACAGGGCTCGAACCCATGAACCATGAGATCATGACCTGAACCAAAGTCAGACACTTAACCAACTGAGCCACCCAGGTGTCCCACTTTTTGGGTTTTTTATTATTGATTTGCAGAAGATCTTTATATATTCTGGATATCAATTCTTTGTCAGTTACTTATGCTACACATATCTCCACAGATAGGCAGTGCCATCTTTGTGATAAACTAAGTTCCCATATATACCTTGGGTCTGGGAATTTTCAAAACCAGTCGTGGATCCTCTTTTCTTTTTTCTTTTTTTTTCTTTTTGCATGTGATTATCTAGTTGTTCCAGCACCATTTTTTTTTTCTTTGAGAGAGGGCACAAGTGAGCGAGGGGGCAGAGAGGGAGAGAAGCGGTGAGTCCTTAAGCTCACCTGATGTGGGGCTTGAACTCACAAACAGTGAGATCATGACCTGAGCTAAATTCCGATGCTTAACTCACTGAACCACCCAGGTACCCCCTGGATCCTTTTTTTAAAATAGGCTATTTTTAAGAGCAGTTTTAGGTTCACAACAAAACTGAGTACACCAGAGTTATACATTTGTTACAGTTAATGAATCTGCATCATTATCCCCACAA